CCGGGTTCCAATTCATAAACCAAATTGAAGACTTGCCTCGCTAACAAACTCTGAACAGTTGCAATAGAGTTTCAAAACAGGGCTGTAAGTGAACCGATCATTGATTGTTATAACATGGATACACTAAACACCGTTCTGACGTGAGCGGCATTATTTTGCTGGGGGGGGGCATGAATCAGCATAAATATTCTGGAATAGCAGTTCTGATGTACAATCTGCTGTGCGTTTTCTTTCCAGAACCATACTGGTCCGTTGGGGCAGTCTAAATTTATTTTTCTCCGGCCAAATATCACGTTATTTAATACAGCGTTCCGTCTGTAATTTCTATCTAATCTACTCGATCCACCATATAACGTTCAGTCATCCTTGGAACCACATTCATTCCTCCACACCGCAGATGGATTGTTGCTTGTAACGGCTTGTAACGCGTTGTACACAGCGAACGCGAATATTCAGTTGCATGGACTTAAGCCAATTAGAAGTAGTTGTTTGATGATCGTGTGCAGCGAGTAGACGTTGCCCCTCGACTCTCCGAGTGTTCTGCGTTTATTCTCAGATTTATCATAGGCTGCGGATAACTTTCCTTGAACAGTGGATTCTTTTGGCGATCTTGCTTATGCTCATTCCTAGGCCCCGCGCTGCGTATCAGAAACACTGTGTAAGCGCGGCATTCTCCTGTTCTCGTTGGGTGAAAGTTCCAAATCCGCAATTGGAATCGCTGAACTGCGCGAGCTTCATTCACAAACCAATCATGTCAAGTCAAGTAAAGCTTTATGCACTAATATGTAAGATGCTCACAACTGGAAGGGTTGTCAGCATTGGAAAAAACAGTGAAATCGGTAGATGAAACCATATCTCTAAGTTTGGATAAGTTGCCAGGAGCGCGACTTCTCCTTCTGATGGTTCTAGATGTGTAACGGTTCATGATGAAAGTATTTACCGTGACTCTTCGGATGCAAAAATAGACCATTGGTCAGAGCTACCTATGGGAGCCCGCTTCTCAATGAAAAAGATTTCGGGGCCATTTACAAAAATCCCGTCAAGTTGGACACCAAACCGGGTGGGAAAATTTACAAGATTTGTCAAGCCTAAAGTTGTAAGGAAAGAGATATTAAAACAATTAAAATCACCAGCAGAAATGCATAAAGACTGGTCTAAACCTGTTGCAAGTTGTGAGGAGAAGGAGTGGACAAACAGACGAATATCAGAATGCAGGCGTGTCGGGAGCGATGTAAATGTTTGCTAATGTAATGTGATGAAAGTGACTGAAAAANACCATGCACTTTCGTGCGCGGGTTTTGGTTGCTGTCTTTAAGTTATCCATTTGGATAAAATAGCGAAATGAAGATTGGAATGTCGAAGCAAATTCAAGCGGAAGGAAGTTTGCATTACGATCGCCTCGGATTATGTCAAATCCATCAAGATGCACGACGTTGCCCTCAATGTCAGGATGTAGTCAGCTTTCCTGGAGTAGAGTTACCCCAACATTCTTGCATTCCTTAAGGTGTATCGTGCTCTTGATATCATCGAGTTTTCCTATGGGTGAACGAATATTATATGAAATAATAGACGGAACGGTCAAATTATCAACAGAACGCCGCCTAAGCACCACACACCAGCCATCACGGTGTTTTTTACGATGTCCTTGAACAGATTTTTGCAGTCGTTTGAAGCGATTTCTCACAGAATGGGAAAAAATCGGAAACTGATGTTTTTGCGCGATAAACTGCAAGGATTTCAAAAATGTGGTGTTGTAGGGCAACCTTTGACCTTGAGAATTTAACGAGTGGATTCAAAAGTGATGACCACGCGTTTCCTCACTGTAACTTTGTGAAATAATATTCCACGATAACAAGACACGGCCAAATTCAAAGGCCCAGCTCTATGAAGTTTGTTCAAAAGCATAGCATAGAGCATCGCCTCGGATACAGGCTATATGCATGACTCTCCGATTAATTAATAATGGCAGACAATATCGTCGGTACTCGAGAGGTGTGCTAAACGTACTACTCATCCTCAGTTTATGCAAACCAATGCTAATTAAGCAACTAGGGTGTAATTGGAATCGCGGTAACGGTACATAGTTCGATAACCGACTCCTCTTCCATATCATGTCACTTTGCGCGTTTGGTTTCATGCTCACGAAACCGGGTTGAGTCATCGTAAAATCAATACAAATGGTGTGTTGTTTACCATAACTCACTTAGCAGGTTAAAGATAGGCCTTATTGAATGGAACTGCGAATTTCCCAGCGATCCAAGCGGTAGTGATGTCTGGTGTGTTTCTGAATAACCATTGTTTTTGTAGCTCAGACGTTTGGCGTTCACTGCAAACAGTTGACCATCGTCACCATCAATTGAAAGGACATTTTACTGTCAAATATTATCATCAAGGATTAGAAGAGCATCGCGAGTTGTTCCTGAAAGATTAAGGTCACAGAGAGATTCTTCTTCATTTTCCCTATCCTGACATGCAATTTTTTACCACACTTTATTTCCTCCGAAGGATAACAAAGAACACAGCTAATATACAAGCACCTGTATCGGATTCCATAAAGCCGTGAAATAAAGATCTTGATGACATAGAGATGGCCTTGTGGTTCGTCATATGCGAACACAATTACTTTCCTTGGTGAGGAACCACGTCAAATTTCAAATTTTTATTATGGGATATAACATACAAAGACTTCGCTTTTACAAATCCCATAGGGTGTTTACACTTTGGTTCGAATGACGATTCACAATATCACAGTTAGTCCATGAAAGTAAAGTGATAAAGTTATATTTTGACGAGCACGGGAGAATATGTTATGTAGTTGGGATGTTGAAATGTAACGTTTGCCAGGGCATCATCAAGCTGACGCTTGAAAGATACTAATGTTGGGGCACAGACCGCGTGAGCTGGTAGAGAGTTCCATGAAC